CCTGCTGTGTTCTTCCAGCTCCACACTGTATTGACTCTGACTCCAGCATCTGCAGTTCTTGCTATCTCTGATTTTCAAATTACCCTTTTCACCTCTTCTACTCAAGAGAAAATAGCTCAGCGATCTTGAATCTTCGAGTGTTTGATTTCTGAACACTGCCCACATTAATCCACACTGTCTCGATATTTTTTAATCACTATCAAACCATGCATGTTCAGACATTGAAGACAATACTGATATCAAGGAGTGTATTAAGGATATGAAGAAAATAAGTCTAGAACAAACACCGGTGGCACAGTGGCTCTGTGATTAGCACTGCTGCCCCACAGCACCAGGGACCTGGGTTCGATTCTAGCCTTTGGGATGGTCTGTGTGGGGTTTGCACGTTCTCCCCATGTCTACATGGGTTTCCGCCAGGTGTTTCAGTTTCGGTGAACAGTTTAGGTAAATTAGCCATGTTAAACTGCTCGGACTATCATGAGGTGTGCAGGCTGGGTGGATTAGCCATGATAATTTTGGGGTCTGGTTGGGATCCTCTTTGGAGGGTTGGTGCAGACTTGATGGGCTGAATGGCCTCTTTCCACAATGTATTCTACCTCTTAACTGGCAGGTTGGACTGATAGGAAGGACCATTGTTAAGGATCATACAATTTTAATACATTCTATGATTGTGCTGTAACATGATGGCAAGCTAATTAGTAAGAGGTTACACCAAATACAAAGAACATGGGAACAGGAAAGGACATTTAACTCAGTCTATTCTATCACTGGGTGACCTAACTCCAGATACTTGATTTTGCCTATATCTCAATGTTTTTGATCAACAAAACTTTATTGAGCTCATATTTAAAATTAATTGATGTAGCACCAACTACACTTTGTGGGAGAGAGTTCCACGCTACCTGTGTGTGTTTGGGTGTTTCCTAGCTTCACTCCTCAAAGGGCAATTTTTAACTATTAGACTGTCCTTTAGTCCTAGATTCCCCAGTCAGCAGAAATAGTTTATATTTACCTTATCCATCCTCCTTAATATTCTGAAACTTGGATCAAATTACCCCTGAACCTTCTAAATTCCAGGGACTACAACCCTAATTTATTTAATCTCGCATTGGAATTCAATCGTTACAGTCTATATATAATTCTGATCAATCTCAGATACACGTCTTACAGAGTCAATATATCCCTCCTAAAGTGTGGTGCCCACAGAGACTCCAGGTGTAGTCTAACCAGAACTTTGCATAGCTGAAGCATGATTTCTTTCCTTTAGCTATAAGTCCCATTGGGAACACCCAGCATGGGTTCATGAAGGATAGGTCATGTTTAACTAATTTGGTGGAATTCTTTAAGGACATTACTTGCATGGTGGACAATGGGGAACCTATGGATGTGGTGTATCTGGATTTCCAGAAGGCATTTGACAAGGTGCCACACCAAAGGCTGCTACACAACATAAAGTTGCATGGTATTACAGGTAATGTATTGGCATGGATAGAGGATTGGTTGACCAGTAGAGAGCAAAGAGTAGGGGTAAATGGGTGTTTTTCTGGTTGGCGGTCAGTGGCTAGTGGTGTGCCTCAGGGATCAGTGTTGGGACAGCAATTGTTTACAATTTACATAGTTGATTTGGAGTTGGGGACTAAGCGTGGTGTGTCAAAATTTGCAGATGACACTAAGTTGAGTGGTAGAGCAAAGTGTGCAGAAGACACTGAAAGTCTGCAGAGGGATATAGATAGTCTAAGTGAGTGGGCAAAGGTCTGGCAGATGGAGTACAATGTTGATAAGTGTGAGGTCATCCATTTTGGTAGGAATAACAGCAGAATAGACTATGTTTTAAATGGTAAAAAATTGCAGCACGCTGCTGTGCAGAGAGACTTGGGTATCCTTCTGCATGAATCGCTAAAAGTAGGATTGCAGGTGCAGCAGGTAATTAAAAAGACAAATGGAATTTTGTCTGCCATTGCTAGAGGGATGGAGTTTAAAAGCAGGGAGGCTATGCTGCAGCTGTATAGGGTCCTGGTGAGGCCACACCTGGAGTACTGTGTGCAGTTTTGGTCTCTTTACTTGAGAAGAGATATACTAGCACTGGAGGGGGTGCGGAGGAGATTCACTCGGTTGATTCCAGAGTTGAGAGGGTTGGGATTATGAGGAGAGACTGAGTAGGCTGGGATTATACTCATTGGAATTCAGAAGAATGAGGGGAAATCTTACAGAAACATATAAGATTATGAAGGGAATAGATAAGGTGGAGGCAGGGAGGTTGTTTCTGCTCGCAGGTGAAACTAGGACTAGAGGGCATCGCCTCAAAATAAAGAGAAGCAGATGTAGGACTGAGGTCAGGAGGAACTTCTTCACCCAAAGGGTTGTGAATCTGTGGAATTCCCTGCCCAGTGAAGCGGTTGAAGCTACCTCGCTGAATGTTTTTAAGGCAAGGCTAGATAAATTTTTGAACAGTAAAGGAATTAAGGGTTATGGTGAGTGGGCGGGTAAGTGGAGCTGAGTCTCAAAAAGATCAGCCATGATCTTATTAAATGGCAGGGCAGGCTCAAAGGGCCAGATGGCCTACTCCTGCTCCTAGTTCTTATGTTTTAATAGCTTTTGCCATCATTTTTCCATAACTGCTCATGGAGCTTCAGTGATTCATGTCCTGGAAATCCCCCAAGGCTCTTTGTTCCTCTACTGTTTCCAGCTTTTCACTATTTTATAAGTACACGGTTTTCACTCTTAGGTCCAAACTTGATGAGTTCACATTTGCTAACATTGATATCCATTTGCCACAGTTTTACCCAGTCTACTAAATTTTCCTTGTAATTTGGTGCTTCTGACCAACAATGTTTACATCTACCTTCCTGTCATTGCCAAACTTGGATATAACAATCACTATTCCATCATTTAAGTGGTTAATACACAGTTAAGAGCACAGCACAGACCCAAAGCAGATATTTATCGGTTGAGTTCTGTTCATTTAAGTGCCTGCCCATTATTCCTCCTGTCTCCTGCTCTGAAATATATTGTTTGTAGATGCACGCACTGCAACCTCAAATTAGTGTGATCAGCACTCAACTGGATAAAAATTACTTACTTTGAATTAGTTACTGTTGGATCCCGGGAGAACGTGAAGTAGTTGGAAATATTTTTATCATAAGGCAGCCATCCATGAGTTCCCATCAGGCAATTCTGACTCAAAGTCACCTAGAGATCCAAAGCACAGGCACTTAAGAGATGGTCTGGTGAAACCTGCATCATACTGCCCCACGTACAAGCATAGTACAGGAATTGAGATACCATCAAGTAAACACACACATTACTCTATAAAGAACAAATGATAAATCAAGCTTCTACATTTATTTCAGCCTCATTCTATTGAACATTATTTTTCAACAAATAGTGAAGAATCACTTGTTGTGCCTTGAGGAATTACTAAACAGTTCCACAGATATTTGAAGAATACATTTGGCTACAACCATTCTACGTTACACATTGAACATCTGGTGACACCCCTTAATGATGCAGATAATAGCTCCAACTATGTTAAGTGCACGCAATTAAATGCTCCCGAAAGGTAGGCAGAAGCGAAGGAGTGTCAATGATGCTTTCATCAGCCCATGGTATTGTATTTTCTACACATTGTTAATGTTATGTTACATTGTTTGTATTTCTCTACAATATATCCAATGTACTGTTAGAGTGGTTTATTGCTGTTGAAGATTTTGTGAGAGTTGTAGTCCCAGTTTTCATTAACCTTTTGGTCGAACTGACAGTTTTGAGGTTTTTAATTTGGATTTGGTACACAGCATACCTTTTTCTGTCCAATATCTAAATAAACGCTCAGAAATCACAACCAGAAATCTCTTGATCTGTGCACCAAGTTTTGGAATCAGTTGTGATCGTAGTTGTGATTCTTTTTGAAAGGCAGGCTGACAATACTATGTAGCAGACCAAGACTGCTGCTAAGATTCGACAGCATCCGTTTAAGTGTAACAGGTCAAAAATGAATAGTATCCTGTACAAAGGAATAAGGCATTGCTTGTACCACAACATCACTGGAGATAGCGAGTTTGAAAACCCCTGGATTGGACAGCTTTAAACTAGCTCCCTCAAAACACAAGTTTTTTTTGTTTATTTGTAAAATATAAACTCCTTTGACATATTAAAACAAAAGGCTGCATTCCACTCATCAACATTAAACTTGGAGCCAATTTTCCAGAATGGCACTAGCACTTGTTACACAAGGTGAAGCTTGTGGACAATAAATGCAATTAACATTTTAGATAGGTCATTGTGCTCTCCCCAATATCTGACACTTTGCAAAGCCTTCCACAGTCAACCTGCTTGGCTTTTTATCAGTCATAGCTTTTTTGATTCCAGGTTCTAAGAGGCAAATATTTACTCCTTTCCTGACTTCCACTCACTCCTGACAATTGTCCAACATTAATTCACCATGCTAATCTTTACCTCTTCTTCCCCACCCAACACCAATTCAGGTCAGTACTCATTACTGATATACATACTTGCACCCTCCACTGCTCCTATAGCATTCTCCATTTCCTTTTGGAATCATTCTTTTCTCCAGTAGCTGACAGGATGTAATGCTAATCTGAGGCAGAAAGTCTCAAGTGAAGACTGGCCAGACTTTGCAAAACTTACTTGAGATTTCCCACTCTTATTGTTCCATCCCTGGTAACAGCAGGTGACCCACGTGAGTGGCACTGGAGGGTGGAGTGAGGAGAGTGAAGACAGTTGAAAGGTAGGTTCTTTTCCGAGTTCAGGTTTGGGTTGAATCCACCCATCCAAAATTCCAGAAATGAACAAATCCAACTTGTGCATTCCTGATTTTCATCAGTCCATTATTGCTGACTATTCTTTCAGCCCACCTCAGCCCCAAGCTCTGGAATTCCCTCCCTCAATCTCACTCTATTCTGTTAAGATGCTTTTTAAAACAGACCACTTTGAGGAAGCTTTTGGTCATCTGTCCTAATATCTCTACCTGTGCCTGAGCGTCACACTTTGCTTGCTAATACTTCTTTACAATACCTTTGAATAGTTTAAAATGTTAAAGTTGTTGAGAAATGCAGATTACTATTGAACATAGATTCTTTTAGACATTTACTGCTTCATGCAACATTTCAAGGCTTTTAAATAGAGATAACTGAAGTGTGATTTTGAGGGTTGTTTAACTATTACCACAAATGCGATAGGGGAAGTTATTTCACCTATTTATTATAGGTTCATCTAAAAAGAACCTCAAATCCCACTGTAGCAATCAATTGCTTCTTCATTAACTCCATTACATTTCCACTACCCTACTTGAATCACCGTGCAAAGTTTATTTTCTAGGCATCAGTTCTAAATGTGAGAGATTGAACACCTTGGGTGGATTTTTCCATTTCCTGTTGAAGTGTTTGGTTGAGTGAGATTCATGGTGCTCAGTCCACTCTGGCTTGGAGTGATCTTTCTCATTCAATCTTGCATTCTTCATCTCATTAACTATTCAACTATGTCTCAGGCACTTTCTTGGGAAAATGTTCAGTCTAGCAGGCATAAGTACTTGCCGCAGCTGTAAGTTTCTGGTATACATGTTGCTGTGCCATGTTTAAAACTCAGCTGCACACTTTGAGACACTGCCAGCCAGGAGTTGGCCCTCACACTGTACTGTTTGACTGTTAGCAACAAAGACATGGCCCAGAAGACAGGAAATTCACTCTCTATTCTTTGCAACAGGGACTTGGAAGTATTGGTGAACAAGATGGGGGGAGGATGGAAATCTTTTTCCCTGCTGGCTGACAAGAGAGGTCATGCCATCAGAGATAGTCAGCTTAGATACAGATTTCAACCCGGTTCAGAGTAGTGACCCTGATGAAGCAGGTCACCCAGCAGTGCAAGAGGAAGGTCAATGGTCTTCCGAGCTCTGTAATGGTAACAGCCACCACCTCTTCTCTGCTACCTCACACTTGCATTGCCAATGCTGACACTCACTCTACTACTGCATATGCCCCTCCCCAGGGCTTATGGAACAAAACTTTCACTATTGCAGCATCATGTCCACTCAATGTCCACTCCAACTCATCCTCTCCAACTACTGACTTTTCATGCCCGCTCCATTACCCACTCACTCGCTGGGGACAGCTCCTGTTGATGCATCACTGTTGACTGTTCCTCCATTATATTTAACTCCTCCTTTGTATCGTTGCAGGAAAAACTGGATGTCTCCACAGCACCCCCACTGATCTATGTGTAATCCCCAAAGCGGTTGCACTTAACCTGCAGGACTGACCATGTCCACCCGACTGCATTAGAATAGGATGACTGACTGCGGCAGCTCCCCTCACCCTCACCCCACCCCCACCCCCCACCCCGCTGGCCAACAGTGGCAGATTGCCTCCCCCACCCACCCAACTGACTGTGGCAGTCCCCTGACCGACTGTAGTCCTCCTTCACCACATTCAGGACTGATCCCCCTTCAGTTTTCGCATATGGCCATTTGCTTGAAGCTCGTTTACCATTGTAAATGCTGTCACATGCTGTGGTTCTGACGCTGACTTAGCACTGTGGCATACAACGTGTTCATCCACTTGACTGATTAGAGCTCAACATCGTGACAAGCTGCCTGCTCTCCATCTGTCTGCTTCACATTGCTTTTTAGTTGGAAGATGCCAGCTTCTGTGCTAAGTACACAGCAAACAAGGGCAAAGAAATTAAGCTGACAGCCATAAGATGCATGCTGTATACATGCATGAGATGCTTGTATCCCTGCATTGTAAGTGACTAGACAGGAGCATGCAAGTCCCTAAGCTTCAAAGTAAAGTGTTAACAGCTGAAGTGGTGTGAGCGCTGGTTGGACAGCAGACATCCTGTGGGGAGGCTGGTGGCTTGCCAATGCCAACGCCAACAATTCCAGACCCGAAACGTTAACTGTTTTTTCCTTCACAGATGCTGCCAGACCTGCTGAGCTTTTCCAGCAACTTTGTTTTTGTTCCATTGCTAATAAAGGTAGTCACCGTTCAATAGTGAGATTCTAAAATCACCATTTAAAGCTCAAGGAGAAAATTGGAAAACATTTTCTTAGCATCGAGATTCTGATTATTAAAATGTTTTCTCAGTAGCTTCCCCATTTTTCTCACAATTACTAACATCATAGAAGGGAGGAGAAAATTCTGCCTCATCTCACTACCGCTGTTCAGTTCAGGTCAGTAGCATTTTCATTCTGATCGCCACTGTATGTAACCCAGGGAGCGCCCAAAGAGCCAAAGTTTCTCCTGTTTTCTCTCACAGCTCAGTCGTTACAGGTTATGCATTAGTTTTGTTATTTTGACCTACCCCACAGGATGAGAAATCATTGGGCTCTTTGTTTTTTTAGATTTAGTTTATCACGTTCTTCAGCTCCTGTCCTTAGTTGTTAGATTGTGCTCATGAGGGTTGCAATAAAAGACTTACCAAGGTGTCAGGACTTCCCTGTGACATGAAGGAGCGAGCCTGGCTTTTGGGCACCACTGCTTTCACTATAGGAACCATGTCGCTGATTCCCTTCGGAGAAATAAAAGGTAACGAAAATCCATTAAACTCGTTGTTTCTTCAGAGAATTAATGAACGAGTGATAACTCTCAGGATACCTTTTTTTAAACAAAGCCCACAGGGACAAGCAATATTGAGGGATGTTAAAAATCACAGATTGAAATATAAATCCTTTATTACAATTTCTGATCAAACTCCTCTGTTGGGTTTGTTAATGGATCTACTGAGTGAAATTTCCTTACAAATGACAGCAGCATTTGACATTAATGGGTTAAAGGTGACCAGTATGGTTTCCAGGTTCTTATCTGTCTCCAACTCTCAGAATTCAAAACTCAACAAATGATGCATTCAAATTATATAAATGTCCTATCCTGTGCATAAAATTGATCTTCTTTGTGAGTATTATCATGGAACTAGCTCGAAACCTTTTATGTATCATCAAAGCTGAAAGGCAAAAATAAACCTATCAAAATTACCTATATAGATAACATCCTGAGACAATTGATAAAGTTTCCAACATTTACCTCCACAAAGAAGGACTTGAGCTCAGTTAGGTGCTGGAAGATATTCAGTGGGCAGTTGTCCATTTTAGCCTGTCGCTTCAAAGCTTCATCAGCCGACAACCTGCATGGATGTGGCTCCTAACAGATGGTAACAACAGATTAGATAACGCTTAGCACAACAAACTGAATACATTTGCTCCTAAAGCCATGTCACTGTGCTAAAAAGGAACTCAATTCATTCTGATTATTTTCCTCAGTTTTTTTAACCAGAATGAAGTGCTCCTGTTCAGAAAGAGAAGACAGTGCCAATATGTATGCGATCTCTCATGCAGCAATATTTTTATTGCTGCACACATTAATTATAACAGAATGGCTAATGTAACAGCGCTTTGGCTGCTTCTGCTTACTGCGATTTCAAATGACATTCCAGGTTGATTTCTAAGTTTGTGAAACATCTATGCTTCTTATGAAAAATCTGTGGAGTATTGTTGCCCGAGTTTAAAAATATTGCATTAAAAATTAAGGCCACTTGTAGATGGATTGTGAAATACTTGGTTGAAGGTAGACATTCTATCTTTCCCATGCTTAAAGCTCACGCTCCATCATTATTACAGCGTCTGAATGACCATAAGACGCTCAGTGGTTAGCACTGCTACCTCACAGCGCCAGGGACCCTGGTTTGATTCCACATTCGGGCAGGTGTCTGTGTGGAGTTTGCATGTTCTCCCTGTGCCTGTGAGAGTTTCCTCTGGATGCTCTGGTTTCCTCCCATAATCCAAAGATGTGCAGGTTAGGTGGATTGGCCATGCTAAATTGCTCATAGTGCCCAGGGGTGTGCAGGCTAGGTATGTTAGCCATGGGATATTCAGGGTTACAGGGATAGGGTAGGGGTGGGTCTTGGTGCTCTTCAGAAGGCTGGTATGGACTTGATGGGCCAAATGGCCTGCTTCCACACTGTAGGAATTCTATTCAATTCTAAGACAGTGGTGTGTGAGCATGCTGAGATCATTCTCACACAGTGATAGGAAGATAGTGAAGGTCAAGTAAAAATAATGAGAAAGTAAGTGAACTGGGGGTGGAACAGAAAGTATGGTAGTGGCCTCAGATCAAATCTTCGCCCAAAACTTTCTTGCTTTGGTGTCCCCTCCAAGAAAGGAACCACCCTTTTTTTTTAATCTATGTGCTACCTCAATGACATGCTTCATATTCCACATGTACACTGGTGACACCAAATCCACCTTATGGACACCTGTATCTCTTAGCCCTCCACTGTTGTCAGGCTGCCGGTATGATGTCTGGTACTGGATAAACCACCATTTTCCAAATACTGGCAAGACTGATGTCATTGTCTTTGACCTACACCACAAACTGTGTTAATAATTACATTCCCTTCCCTGGCCACTGCTTGAATCTGAACCAGACTAGTTGCAAGCTCTGCATCAACACTTAAAATACATCGGGTCCACAGGCAGATTGGTCTCTGAAAGTCCCTAAAACACCTGGAAAAATTTAATCGCTGGGGAAACCAACTGGATAAAAGTTGTCCCCAGTGAACAGAATGGGTACAATGTGTGAGGAGCTGCTGCTCCAGAGGCTGGCTCTCTTTCGAGAGTCTATCAGCAGCAAAAACAGGAAACGAAAACAGCTTGAGACAGGAGCAGCATACAAGGAAGTAGCAGCCGTGAGTAAGGTTGCTGGAACAGAGGACATGGGACAGAAGTCGCAAGGCCATAAGCTGTAGGGGGCAGGGAAGCAAAGCTGGATGACTGAGCAAAAGTGAGGCAGCAAAGGAAGAGAGGGACCTGAGGGGAGGGGAGAAAAAAGAAAATCAACAAAGTGGGGAGAGTGGCAGCAGAGAGGAGAGGGGCAGCAAAGGGAAGTAAAGCTTCAAAAGTGGAGAAGGACTGCAAAGAGGTGTGAGGATCTGTGAGAAGTGCTGCGCAGATGATCCATTTTGGTCTCTACTTAGGTCTTTAGCCATGATGTAGAGGTGCCAGTGTTGGACTGAGGTGGAAAAAGTCATGACACCAGGTTATAGTCCAACAGGCTTATTTGAAATCACAAGTTTTCAGAGCGTAGCCCCTATGGGCTTTGACAACATTCTAGCAATAATACTGAAGTCGTGGGCTCCAGAACTAGCCACAGCCGTAGCTGAGCTTTTCTGATACAAAACTGCCATCTACCTGACAATGTGGAAAATTGCTGAGATATTCATGCCCTGTGCACAAAGACAGGACAAATCTAGTACCTCCTCAAGCAATAAATGATGGCTTAGTCAGTGCCACCCACATTCCATAAGAATAAAAAAGAAAAAAAGAAGAGCAGTTTTAAACTTTTAATGAATAGAATATTCAGCTAACTAGAAAGCTGGAAGTCTTGAGGTCGCTGATGAAATGAATTCTTTGCAAATTAATATGGAACTTCTAGAAGGTCAAGAGAAAAATGCAGTTGATGTGATCATACTGAACACTGTGTAAATTGGATAATTTAATACTAAATGATTTTATTTCATAAGTACATGCATTTTTGCATGATTACATCTGAAAGATTCTTCTCCAGTATGAGGTATTTGTGATACAGTGACTGTGTTAGAGACAATCTTGCAAACAATTCACTGTGACCTCACCAGTCCATGCAAACAACGATGAGAGTTATGGTTTTTTGTGCGTAGGAATGTGCACCATTACATTTAGAAAATAGTTGTTAACTTATGCTTGCTACTTTAAATATTGTAATGTCTAGGAAATTGATGTTTTGCTGATGTATTGTGGCATTAGGTTTCGTGGAGTAGTGATGAACATCAAGGGCATTCTTCTAATTTTGTTCCTGTGTGAATTCAAATGTTCTGTGCATCAACAAAAATGCAAATGGCAATGTTACTGAGAGCGCATCACCGAATAAAGGGGTTTGCAGGAATTGAAAAGGAGCCTCAAATATCAACATATGTGTCCTTGAGAAAATCTCAAGAAGAGAGCTAATACTAAAACATTTCGACCCCTGCACTGCATCCTATTCTGGCTCAAAGTTCAGCTTCCGATACCATATGCTCTGCATCAGGAAGAACCCCAAATCTTGACTTGGCTTGACTTTATTTTGCCCTGCCCCAGCCATATGCTAAAACTCTTATCCTTGTTTTTGTTACCTCCACACTCCACAATTCCGATGAGCTTCTAACCAGTTGAAGTTGAACTCTGCTGTCTCAAATCTAAACTTGGGCCATGGTTCCTTTACCCACCAAGTGTTCTGACCTATAAACGGCTCCTGCATGAGCAACATCTCAACAATAAAATTTTTACACCGAGGTTCAAATCTCTTCAAGGCCTTGCCTCTCTCCAACTCCAACCTCATCCTGTTCTATCATTCTCCGCCAACTCAAAATCAGTCAGCACAAGCCACTTGTGAGACCCTGCTTTTTTTTTTGATGGCCATGCCTTGAGCTACATAAGCTCTTTAACATGGAAATTACCTCCCTATACCTCTGCACCTCTCCCTCTAAGACCCTCGTTAAAACACATTTCTATGACAAAGCTTCTGGTCACCCCAATTAAGATCCAGTTCTTTGGCTCGGTGTAAATATTTGACAGATTATGCTCCTCTGAAATTCAGCTAACTAGAAAGCTGGAAGTCTTGAGGTCGCTGATGAAATGAATTCTTTGCAAATTAATACATCACTAGCCTACGTTAGAAATGCTTTATAAATGCAAGTTGCTGTTGCAACATTGTGGAATGATAAAACAGTACCTTGAGGAGCTGACAGGGAGTCTGCCCAAAATTACTGATCATCCCTTCCAGTGCTTTTCGTTCTTTCTCATCAGCGACTGCATCTAGGTCAACAGCTCCTGTAAAACATCACAATAACATTTGCACCTGTTACATTTGTTGCACTTTCTTCCCCCCACAAAACATACACTTATGAGAAGAAACAATCTGACCCAAAAGAAATTATAATACAAGGTGCCCAGTCAGAAAAGCTGGTAATTTCAAGACATAGCCAATTCACTGGACATTGTTAGTTACCTTCATACGTGCAATAATAGAAAACATTTAGTGCTTTGGCTGCATCTGGTCCCCTTTGCTTATATCCAAATATCAGATCAATCCACTCGTGAAGATGGGCAGACACATAGTCAGACTCCTGAAGGAATGAGGAAAATGCAACTCTGAGAAACATTGAGAACTCTTAATAGCAGCTCACTTAAATCCCTTTTTTATTGAAGCCTTATATTGAAAGAGTGAGACGTCATGAGAAAAATCAATGGAATTTTCTAATTTGGTTCTCACCACTTATGAATACGATTTGTTGGCTCTACGTGATGGCCACAAAAATAGGAAGTGCTATTACAGTAATCAAGATGCATAATGTGAATGTTTCTTTTGTTGGACAACTTTCTGCCCAGATGTTTCTAGCTCCACTCTAACCTGCAGTTTACATTTAGACAGCAACTGGTGCTCATTACAGATTGTAATCCCACATCACTCAGAGGAGACTAAAAAAGCCTCAATTGCTCATGAGGCAATCTGACGTGAAATCAAGTCTTGGATTTGAAAAAGAAACATACTGCAACCAAAAACAGAAAATGTTTGGAATACACAGCAAGTCTTGTAGCATCAGTGGAAAGATAAAAAGAAAGATAACATTTCATATCAATGATCTTTCAGGGACTAGAAATCCTAAACTTCAGTGCTTCCACAGTTGCTATCTGCTCTATTAAGCATTTTCTGTTTTGTTACTTTATGCATCTTTGACCTTGCATTCAGTGCACTTAAATGAGGTGCAAACCAGCAAATAAAGACATCCATTGCTGCACAACCAAGTGGAAACTATATGTTGTTGTAACTGGCAACTTTGAAACTAATGTTAATCAGTTTAACTAAATAGAACTAATCGGGCCAGTTCAGATGGCAGCCTATTCTAAACATAGCCCCTGAAAATGTAGCATAAATATGTTATAGGAAAGTTAAAAATTAAAGATTTGAATATTGCATATATTTATCATGCAGCAAAACATATAGACTGCGGTGCAGCCCTCACCAGGGCCTTCCTGTGCTTGTAGATGAAGTCCTCAGGTGATGTGGCCCATCTCGGAAGTATCACGTCATTAACCCGCTCCTTGGAAATCTGTAAACGTCCCAGATCCAGCTCTTTAATAGTTGAGAAATATGTGTGTTAGTCCAAGCTATCAGTGCCCGTTGACAAGACACCTCAAAATAAGATTGTGCCTTTGTGAGATGCACTTGCGGGGGTTGGTTAGCTCAGTTGGTTGGGTGGCTGGTTTGTGATGCAGAGTGATTCCAACAGCTTGGATTCAATTCCTGCACCAGCTGAGGTCACCATAAAGGATTCTCCTTCTCAACCTCTTCCCTTGTCTGAGGCGTGGTGACCCTCGGGTTAAACCACCACCAGACATCTCTCTCTCCCTCTCTCTGGTGGGACAGCAGCCCTATGGTCCTGTGGGACAACGGCAACTTTACCTTTACTTCACAAGTATGCTACTTTACAAAGTACTTCATTTGATTTGTGCACTCCAGCAATGCATCAAAAAGCCCATTATAACATAAATTTCTAAGATTAGAGACCTGTGAAAAGCAATGGGTTATTGCATGGAGTAAAAGGTGGCACATTCACACAAGCTTATGCTAATTAGGGCATATTTGAGTCCACCATATACTGTGCATTGTTAACTATATGTCTTTAAGCAGGGAGGGAAAAACAACAGATTAGAATCTGAATTCTCGAGAAAGTTAGCAGTATTCTTGAAATTCAAAAATTGTTCATTGCCTGAAAAAACGTTACAGGGCTAAACACTATTGACAGCTTACTGAGCTAAGCAGGAAATATTCATCTTTTAACTGAAGCACATATTACATAAGAAGCTTGTATGCATCTGCTCAACATCTCTAAATAACAATCAGAAGCAGTGTTAGAGGCAGAACCCTCCTCCGGTACCAGCTCAGCTGAAATACTTACGGTTCTGATTTTCTAGAAATTCTGGAAAGTAGAAGAATTCAGGAATGAGTTCTTTTACATCATTGGGATTCTCCATGAGAGCCTGCCATGTGGCAGGAATGGAATGGAATTGGCGATCCGCACAATCGAATCTTGAAGATAAAACAGCACAAAATGGAATAAATGGACGTTATAAAGTTTACAGTTCACTAAGTTCCATATAATACTCCAACACAGAAACAGGGCATTTGACTCAAAAGGCTGATTATTCACACCCATCTCTTCCAATCCCTCTTCTTCTAACTCCATCAGCGTATATTTCTATCCCTTTCTTTTTCATGTGTTTACCTGCCTTCCCCTTAAATGAATTCCTGTTGTTTCCCTCAAACACTCCCACAGCAGTGATTTCAACCATTCCTACAATGTAAATTGAAGTCAGTCTATTATCTCACAAATTGGCCATCCATCTTGCAGGTTGGATTGTCAACTCTCCAAGATTATCAATTTTTGGGAGAAATGGTGAAGATTATTCCCAGGATGCGACTGTGAATAATGAGACAGAACAAATCGAGAGAAATTAAATTATTTCCTTAAATGATTATAGTTAACTAGATATTGGAGACAGGATTACAAAGGTTGCTTGACTGACGGGCAACCATCATCCATGTCGCAATCCAAGGGCATTGAGCCCCGAGAACAAGGCATCAATGCTGGAAGTGTGGGGCTGGGGTAGTTGAGGTCATGTGGTAAGACCTCTACATCCAACCACAATTGACAACCATTACAACAGTCAGAGGACAGATAGCAAACCATGACATTCCCGTTATCCATCAACAGCCGTGTTTAAAGAGCACTGAAAATATTGGAAATTCAAAAGTCAACAGAAAAGCAGCTACGTGGAGACATAGTTTAACACTTTGGGTATGATTCTTTGTCAGACCGATTAATTAGCTATTTACACCACTTTCATCTTTCTTTCCCACCAAGGAAGACAGGTTGAAAAATTAAATGTGAATTTACAACATCTTTCAGCCTGTGTCCAGCGAGTAGAAACTGCCTCGTCAGGGAACTGCTGTCAGTTTTCTTCCCCCCGTTGTCCTAATGTCACTAGTGCCCAGCAGTAGTCCTTCAGCATTTACAAAATTATTGCAGCCAAAGAAGCATAAAATCCAAAATAATGCCAAGCATGCAGTTGCCAATATCTGATAGTGTTATGACGACTAGCACCATGAAAGGTCCTCCAAACGCCTCACAGTAAAACCATTAGAACAACCTTTTCCCCACATATTAAACAATGCACTATGCCGAAATCCCAAGATAACAGAGACCACCATGAAATCAACAAAACCATTTGCAATGGAACATCTTCCTTCTTAAAAGATATTTGAA